TATATCTGATAAAGGATTGATACTCAAAACATATAAAGAATTCTTAAACTCAACAGTAAGAAAACAAAAATCCCAGTTAAAAAGTGGGCAAAAGCTTTCAACTGACACCTCACTAAAAAAAAGATACACAGAGTGCAAATAATCATATTCTGCTTGGTAGAACAACATCAGGGGGCTGAAAATCAAAACAACAATGTGACCACCATGTGCCCATTAGGATGGCTGAAATCCTAGACGCCAAGTCCAGGTGATGCTGTGGAGCAACAGGCACTCTCATTCACTGCTGCTGCACTGCAAAATAGCACAGCCACTTTGGAAGACAGTTTGTCAGCGTTTTGCAGAACTAAACATACTCTTACCCTATGACCAAGAAATTGCACTCTGGTATTTACCCAAATGAACTGAGAACCTACATCTGCACAAAAGCCTGAACATGAGTGTATATAGCCACTTTATTCATAATTGCAAAAGTTGGAAACAATCAAGAAGTCCTTCGGGGGAGGATATAGCTCAAGCGTTAGAGTGCATGCCTAGCATGCTCAAAGTCCTGGGTTCAATCCCGAGCACCTCCTCTAAAAAGGAATAAGTAAATAAACAAACCTAATTACCACCCCCCCCAAAAAAGAAGAAAAAATTGAAAAAAAAAAAGAATTCCTTCAATAGGTGAATTCACCAACTATTACATCCATACTCTGGAGTATTATTAAGTGATAAACAGAAATGAGCTATCAAGACACAAAAGTGATGAAGGAACCTTAAATGCTACTGATACGGGAAAGGCGGCTATCTAAACACACATGCTATAACTCTACTTCTATGATATTCTGGAAGAGGCAAGGGAGATAGTAAAAAGATTAGTGGTTGCCAGGGTTTTGGGGTTGGGTGAGAGCAAGAAGAATGAATGGGTGGGGCACAGTGGATTTGGGGAGCGGTGGAACCATTCTGTATGACACTAACGGTGGGTACATTTCCTTATTCATTTGTCAAAACCCATAATGTACAACTCAAAGAGTGAACTCTAATGCAAACTATAAACTTATAATTAATAATAATGTACTGATAATTCTCTCATCAATCGTGACAAATGTACCAAGCTAGTCTGAGACACAGCAAGGCTAATTCATAGTTTGTGTGTTTAATTTTAACTTCTATGAACAATACAACTTTAAAGACTGCATTGTAAATTCATAAAGTGACAGGTCAATAGATCCCTCTGGTGAAAAGAGGAGGAATTAAACGGAAGTAACATTTTGATGAGGAATGCATCTAGTAGTCTGATGTCTGTATTTAATGCAAAAAATATTTTTCGACGATTTTTCCAGGTTATTGTCCTTCCAAAAGGCATTCTGGTGAACTTAACCTGAAACTACATGTGGTTCTTATCCTATGTCTGACATTCATGGTGTGTGTACTGGTTACTTTTTTCGGTAAGTGAATTGCAATCTTTGTTCACCTGGAGAATTCCATTTACTAAAAGAAGGCATGATAATTTTCTTGTCTTTTATAGCTTCTAATAGTTTTTTTTTAATTTCACCAAGTGAATTAAATCCCAATAACCTTATAAGAGGGTTTTAAGTTTTAACCAGGTAAGATAGAAGTCACATTGCCACAAATTTAATGGAATGACCAGAATCTACAGAAAGCAGAACCCAATTGACAGCCAGATTATGCTTTAATTTACATTGTTACCAGGCCTTTTATCATGTGGTTTTACTATATATATTTTCTCTCAGAAACTGTGTTTTCAGTTAAAATCACTTCAGTGTCATTGGGCCTAGGATTCTAGTAGAAGATATATTGAAATAGATCAGTAACAGCCTATGTGTACAGTTTGTAAAATTGTGTTTATGGTTGACTTTTGGGCAAGGATTCAGTGTGTATTTTTTAAAAAACATATTAGTTAGGGTATAGGCTAATGACATTGCAAAGAAGAGAGGGTCAAAAAACATTGAGGTCCCAGGTCAGACTTCCTGATAAGTTTTGGCGTGATCAGAATAATACAGAATCTTATAACTCTGAGCAATTTAAAATAAAATCTACGATTCAATTCAAAGACAGGTAATAACTTATTGAAGTATATGCTCATGTCCTCTTATATTTTTATGTCCTTTGTCATCCTCACCACACCTAAATGCATACTTGTTCATCTTTTATTAAATTGCTCTCAGGTCACCAAGTTGCCAGTCAAATTACAAGTGAGAGTGTAACGTTTAAGAGCACAGATCTGAGTGCAGATTCTGGATTCAGATGTCTCAGAATTGAATTTCAGCTCTTTTACTTGTGATGGCTCTGTAACCTTGGACAGCTCTAATAACTACTCTGTGCTTCAGTTTACTCGTCGGTTTTGTAATGATAAAACTTGTATACGATTGAGCTTGGACAACGGACTTAAGACAGAAGTAATAATTAACCCTTCATGGTCATCCTCATGGTCACCTACCAAAATTTCTTAGATATTTGCTCAAGATCACCTCTGGACAGAACTGTGGAGCAGAGTGATTACTCACCACTTTCTCTAACAAAACTTGAATTTTGCAAAACAAATACAAAGAAGAAAGATTTGCTTGGACTTTGGTCAATAGGTTTGTTGTCCAGTATGTGTAGCAGTCTCTATTCTGTCATAGCTGGAGACAGAGATTTGCTTTTTCTTCCACAACACACATGCTGCGTGAATCAGAGCAGATGCGCTAGCACTTGTAGTATTTCACAAAACTGGTGGAAAAGGCATTAGAAAGCACCTGTGTTACCAAACTCACCTTGGGTCTGCTCACTTGAAGAACAGCAAAGCCAAGCTACTGACACCTGGTTGTGGTGAAGGAAGTGCAGTGTTTACTGCAGGACACCAAACAGGGAGCAATGAGCAGCTAATGCTCAAAAGACTCAAACTCCCCAGCAGCTTTCAGGGAAGGGTTTTTAAAGACAGTGTGAGGGAAAGGGTTGTGGAGTGCGTGATCAGCGTGTGCACAGCTCTCTGATTGGCTGAAAGTGAGGTCACAGGGTGATGTTTCAGGAATTTCAATCATTAACCTTCTAGTTCTCAGGGGTCTGGGTTTTAAGTGCTTGGTTTCATCTTATGGGAGTCTGGTTTCTGCAAAAACAATTTAGGAATGTGAATCATCCATTGCTACCTGTGTGCTTCAGGGGAAAATAAACACACAGTGACTGCTGTCTGAGTGATCATTGTTTAAATTGTTGCCAGTTCTCCTGCCCATTGCTATTCTTTGTCTCTGTGTGTTCTGACTTCTCTGATAATTAACTGGTGAGTAAGACTTTTTGAAATTCAGGGAAGATTCAGGAAATAGAAGTTACAGAAGTTTTTCTTTAAGCAAGAGGTGGGGAACATGAAAGGGCCTGTTCTCTAGAAAGCCCATCTGGGGATTGCTCTGTTTGGAAATCTATGTAGGAATATATAAACTTCAGTTGTTTTTCATTTCAGTAACTAGAGCTATCTTCCACCAAAACCCATCAGAATGTCTTGTACCTGCATGCCCAGAATACTGGATTGGTTTCCAAAGAAAGTGTTTCTACTTTTCTGATGACACCAAGAACTGGACATTCAGCCAGAGATTTTGTAACTCACAAGGTGCTGACCTTGTTCAGGTTGAAACTCTCCAGGAACTGGTAAGAAAATACTTCTGGCTAGAATAAAAATTTTTGACCCCATCAAGACACTACGACATTCTTTGTGTTTTTATATTTACCTAGATACTTAACTTTCAGCATAAGAAGAGAGGAATCCAGCAGGTCCTTCATTCTGATGTGTGCCATCTATAATTCCCCTAACGTTCACAGCAGGAAGATAGTCAGAGAGCAAGCCAGTGCCTTCTTTGACTTATTGATGCACGAAAAATGGATGTGGGGCATGAGGTGGGGCCATGTCCCAGGCTTCAGCTGAGCCCCTGGGACGTGCCCCACCAAGTATGGTTCCTTGGCTTTGTGCAAGAAAGAATTCAAGAGCGAGCCATAGTTGAGTAAAGGTAAATTTATTCAGAGAGATACACTGAAAGGCAAGAGAAAGGCCATGAAGTGTGGGGTTTGAGTGCTCAGATTAAAAGTAGGTACATACCCCATAGACAGAGTGTACACTGTCTCCAAATGGGGGGGGGGCGGGGGCAGTGTTGCCAGTTTTTATGGGCTCAGTGGCTTCATATGCTAATAAGTGGAAGGACCATTCTGACTAGTCTGGGGAAGGGGCTGGGATTCCCAGGAAGTTGGCTATTTTCCACTCTGACCTTTTGTGGCTAGCTTTGGGCCTGCCCTGGTGCCTGTGGGCATGTTATTCACCGTGTTAATATATTACAATGAGCGTATAATGAAGCTCAAGATCTGCTAGAAGTTAAATCTCACACCATCTGGAGCCTCAAGGCCTCCTAGGGGTTGAATCTTTTACCATTTTGATGTTAATTGCTGTAGCATTCCTTGAATGGCTGTACCTTGCCCACTTCCCGTCTCATTATGAGCAAGGGTTGTGCAAATAGGGGTTTCAAAATTAGAGGTGGAAACAATTTTAAATTTCTGTGAAGTTAATAACGCTGCTTCAAAATAAGTCAAGGAGGAGTGATGTTGGAGAAGACGGCAGAGTGGGAAGCCCCTGGAATTTGTGCCTCCACCTAAATAACTATTGAATTGACAGAAACTCTCCAAAATAACTAATTTGAAACTGTGGAGTCTAGATGAACGCTTGTTGAAGAGGTTGGTAAATTTCAGTTTATCTAGTGAAGTTCAGCCTTTCTGCTCAGTAGTGGCCACCATTCTTCACACCCCATTCTTCACACCCCATTATAGCAGGGAGCCAGGGGACTGCTGTCCTTGGTCCTGGTGCAGCTTGCTGGAGCCAGGGTTGACAATGAGGACCTCCAGATACTGGGGTTATGTATTGTCAGTCCTGAGATCTGCTTTTCATTGCTAAGGGGCAGGCACAAAGGTGCCATTTTTAAAACTCCACCAACTGAAGTGGTTTCCAAGGGGCATAAAGAAATAGCGTTTGATTTTTCCCTTTTGAGGGCCAAACATTTAAGAAAATATTTGGCAGATAACTTGATCATAGAGAGATAACAGAACAGAAATTTTAGTGACCACATGCAAAAGGGAATACGTTTTCTGCAAAAGCAGTTCCGAAACATCACAAAGAGATGACTCCAAGCTTCAATGATCAAAAATTCAAGAATCCCTGAAGAACAGGAGAATAAGATTCAGTTATCACAAAATACCCATAATTTCCAACTGTCAACAATAAATTACAAAACATATAAAGGAATAGAAAAGTATAGACCATTCATAGGAAAAAAAAATACCTGACAGAAATCATCCCTAAGGGAACTTAGACATTGGAAATTTTAGTCAAATATGTTAAATCTGCTGTTTAAAATATGTTCAGTGAGCTGAAGGAAACTACAGGCAAGAAATGAAAAGAAACCAGGAAAATGATATTGTGAAGGAAAAGCCCAGCTGGGCTAACAAGATAACTCATAAATCTGAAGTTTAGTGTCAGTCTATTGGGCTAACGAGCTCAGTCACAAATCTAAGTGTGATAAGTGTCGGTTTACTGATACAAGTTCCGCCGGGCTAACTTGTAAATCTAAAGTTTAGTGTCAGTTTACTGGGCTAACAAGCTAACTCGTAAATCCAAGCTCAACAAGTGTCAGTAACGTGATCTGTTCCAAATTGATAAGCTCCAGTGTACTGATTCCTTGCTTTTTGTTGTTTGAACCTTATTGGCTAATAGCCTCATACTTGTAATTAACCCTATAAAACCTCATGTGCACGTCTTGGAGGTGCTCAGAGCTTTGGAGCAGAAGCCCCTCTGAGCCCGCCAGCGTAATAAATCTGAGTACTCCAACCCTCCGAGTGGTGATTGTTTCTTGGCTGGCCTGTCATTTCCGTAACATTTCTGGAGGCCCCAGCGAGATACAACCACCCCGGCCCCTTGAGCCGCTGGACTGGTGGCTCCGGCCCACCGGGGGACGGGACTCCGGCAGCGAACGAGGAGGCGCCACCCGACGGTATTCCGGGTTCTCTTTCGTGACGGCAACTCGGTCCCCGGGTGGCTGGGCTACAATCAGAGCCAGACTCTGTGGAGGGACGGACAGACTCACCAGGTGGCCGTCTGGACAAGGTAAGATCCCCCGGGAGGAATCAGGTCCTGTCCCATTGGACAGAAGAGGAGGCTGGTCCCCTCCTACAGGCTCTCCGTATGATGGTATTTCAGACGGGGAAATCAGGAATCAGGTCAGGGATCAGGTCCTGTCCCAGTGGACAGAAGAGGAGGCTGATCCCCTCCTACAGGAAACAGAATACTGGAATTGGTGGGAGGACTGTTGTTAACCTCTGTGTGTGTGTGTGTATGTGTGTGTATGTGTGAATGAGCGGCCTGTGAAGCATGCGATCAGGCTCGAGTTCGTAGCTCCACGGCATTCTGCTACGGAGTTCGAGTGAGTCCCAACCTGCGGTTCCGTGGTGACCTCATACGGCTCAGGGCGGTATCGGTCCCTCAGGGTCCCGATCGGAGTCAGCGGCTTATACTGACCCGCCAAAGCTAAGAGGCACCTTCGTCCCCGCGAGGGGAGCGGCCAGGCGGACGCAACGAAAACCCTCCCTTGTCTTGTCTGCGACACCGGCACAGGGTGGCTACACTGGGAGGGAAAAGGACATACACAGCCAACGAGTCAACGCCCCTGTGCCCTCGGAGACTAGGATGCTATTTCTTTGAGAAAGTCTCCTACCTAACTCTGTCACAGAACACACGAGACTTATTGTTCCCCTACTGAACTGACCCAAGTAGTGCCCCTTTTGCCTAGCCTCAGACCCCCAGGACTCAAGTTTAGAAGACAAATTCCTTCAGGACCGGGCTTGCCCGGCCCCGGAGGTCCCTTTTCTAGTCCATTTGTTTTGCCATCTGCCTTCAGTCCCACACCCCTGATACGTTAGTTCAGGATATAGAGAGGATTTAATGAAGAAAGCCCCTGAAACTGCTTGAGGCCTTGAGATCCAGAGACATCAGCTGTGACTGGAACCCAGAGTCCCTGATCAAGTTAGCCTTAAAACAACTCATAGACCCAGCAAGAGAGCAGTCTCTCTGGGAACTTCGGTGTTTTGAAGAGTGAAGAAAAAAGATATAAAGGCTACCTTCCCAAACGTCTAAAGCAACAGAACTATTATCCTTAAACATCTAAAAAGAATGGGAGGCTCTAAGTCAAAACCCACCACTCTAGACTGCATGATTAAAAATTTCAAAAAGGGGTTCTCAGGAAACTGTAAAATTTAAATGACCCCTGGCAGGCTCTACACTTTGTGTGAGCTTGAATGGCCGGCCTTTGGAGTCGGGTGGCCCTCAGGAGGAACTCTGGACCTAGCAACAGTGTGAACAGTCTATCAAATAATCACTGGAACCCCAGGCCACCCAGATCAACTCCCTTACATTGACTCCTGGCTAAATATCGCCCAGACTCCACCCCCATGGATTTGGTTTTGCTCAAATGAACCTGGGCAATGCAAGATATTAGCAGCTCAGCC